AAAAAAAATCAGTTGTGTTAATTTTCAAATGTTTAATATTCAAGTAAAATAATTTAAAATTCAAATCCAAAATAAAATCAAAACCAAATTCAAAGCTATTTTAAATCCCATATAATATTCAGTTTTGATAAATAACACTTGTAAATAATTCAAATTTACACAATTCACATTCAAATAGTTTTGTCATAATATTAGCTCCATAGGTTTTTGGGATGACCTCTCAATCAGCCAATAATAAAGCAGTGGTTGTCAACTCCAGTCCTAGGGACGCTCTGTTATTGGCCCATTGTGAGGTCATCCCGAAAACCCACACCTGTGCTTTAGGGAATAATCAAAGGGGGGGACATAAGTCTACATATTCATTACAGATGCAAACATCTTGGAGCTAGTTATGTAGTACCTGTCAGCAATGACTTAACATTTTCTTTCAGCACTGAAAGATTGCTCTCGTTTAATGACCGAAAAGAGAGATGAATAGAATAAAACACCAAAATATTTCAAATACAAGCACATACCGAAAATATAAAGAAAAGATTAATTTGTCTCTCTCTCTCTGTCCCCTCCCTGCATGCAACAGCTTTATCCAAGGATCAAGCCAAGACAGAGGAGCCTGGCTTAGTTCACAGACTCTGCCGCAAGTTGGGCATAGCGTCATGGCTTCTGCATGGCTGTATGGCTCGGCGTCAACCTCAAACTCATCGTCAACCTCAGATATTTTCACCTGTATATTTGTACAGATTCACACAGTGGAATTCCAGGTTTTAATGGGGAATTTCATACTGACAGTATTTTTCTGAAGAGTTTTTGGACCTTTCTGGAGTTTATATGCACAATTATTTTGTTAGGGTAATGGATTAGCAATAGAACAATCCGATTTAAATAATAAATAGGAGGTTTCGGTATGAGGTATGTTTAAAAAAGGTATGTTTGAGAAGATTCCAGAAATTCCATGGACATCTGTTTCTTTGTCATTGTCAGAAACAGCAATCCATGTTAGACATCCTGTGTTTTTTTTTTTTGTTTTTTTTTTTTTGTCGTCAATCACAGTGGACCCTAATGTAGTATATCTTAGTGACACTGTTTTCGAAGGATTTTCTAATTTTTCAGATGAAGAAACATGTCCGTGTGTTTGGCTCTGTGGAGATGTGATTTGCCTTGCTGTTACCGTGGTAAGACAGATTGAATGTTTTCAGAGATTGCGTGATTCTTCATGCTTTGACAAAGGCTGTAAATACTACTACTAGCATTCTCGAAAAGAAGAGATTGATTCGTTCATTCTGCTGTCAAATTGTAGATTTTAAATAAAGACAGGTTCACTGCTTTATGGAAGCTGACTGAGACATTGATATGACTCAAATTAAAGCATGTATTTGCATAAACCAAATGACAAACATATGTTGTGATGGAAACAGGCTTCAGCTCTCGTGAGGTGCTGAGTAACACACGTTTCCTCTGCACCTACATTGGTAAAATTTTCCTGTTAGATCCGCGTCTCAGGTCCGTCACCTTTTTTGGGAACCCCTTTTTTTCATACGTCAGAAATCCCCCTGTTGTCACCCCGGTGAATTAGCTATACAAATCCCTAACCGAGGTTAGGAGGTGACTTTTTCGCATACTTACAGTAGGGTTTTTATTTTCCAAACAAAACACTTTTTTGTGTTGCCTGTAGAGATCACTGAAATAAAATACTTTGCAGCAGAAATCTTGGAGTGTCCTTCCTCCTTACCCCCCGCCCCTTCCTCCCGTGATGTCATTTGGAGATTGTGGACAACCTCACACCTGTTATTTATGGTTTTTCTGTTGTGCACATTTTATGCTTTTATTGCAAAGGCTGTATGTGTTATGTGGACATGGGTTACTTGTTCCAAAAAGGAAGCACGTACATCCATCCATCTTCTAACTGGTCACATTGGGGCTGGAGAGAACGCCAGTCCATCAGGGAATATCAGAATCAGGTTTATTTGGCCAAGTGTGTGCACACGTGCTGGAAATTCAACTCGGGCTGTCAATGGCTCATACAGTAGAAACATGCATAGTTAAGACAACACAATGGTCAAATACAGTCCAGTTATTAAATACAATGTGAATGTCTTGTTGATAGATGTATAAAGTGCAAGTGCAGGAGTGAATGGTATAAATACAGCTTTTACAAAATAATACAATAAGTACAAAAGTACAGCGAGTTATTTACAGGTATTGTTTATTAATGGGGGGCGGGGGGGTACCTGGGCAGAGGCAGGAGCGGGGGTGGCCTTGCCGGTAACACACTACGGGGCCTTCAGAGATGTCCATTTGGCGGCATCTCCGTGTATCTGTGGAGTGCAGGAGGAGACCTTCACAGCCCTGGAGCTGAGACAAGCTGCTGCCTGCTGAGCCACAGTGCTGCAAATCTATTTCAGGAGTCAGACTTTGATTTCTAAAACTGTGGTGCCACTCCGTACTGAAACAGTAGATTCTAACAAAATGATTAATGACGCGCTCCGTTTGGCCGTTTCCACTTCTACCTCCAATTATGCCTGTTACCTGCTTTATGTCAGCACTTATTACACGGAGGTCAGTGTTGGAAGAGCATAACTCCGTGCTGGATTTACTATGCTTTTAACCTTGAATGCAATACAGCAATATGTACCACTCAAAATCAAAATGGTATTATTTAGGAAGGTAATTATATTTTCTACCTAGTCCATTCATTGAAAGCGAACTAGCTCTCTTGCTGACCAGTGCAATTTCCGGCATAAAATGTACCGCTGTCATTTTTTAGCTAGTCACCCAGCATGCTTCACAAGTTCTGGGAATATACATTTGAATCATTTATACGGCTGTAAAATATGATTATACTCAAGGAGTCAGAGGGCAGATGTGCAAACCAATCATGTCTAAGGATTATCTATGACTGCAACATTGGTGTGACGTTTTGCTTTTCCTGAGTACTGGTGTGTGAATTTTTTACTTTCTGCTGTCTAAGAGCTGAAACGCTGAATCATCTTGGCATTTCGTTTTACCCTGCAGAAAGCAGGCAACTGAAAATCAAAGATCACAACATTTAATTTTCCTAATGTATAAGCAATGGGCCGTAGGATTTATGGTGGGAATATTCCATGTAGTCCTGCACTGGTATCACCATGAGGGACTAAATGACTGAGTCATATGATTCATGCCAGCTCCTGCATTTCTCTTTGCAAGCTGATTATTCTGTTTTACATACACAATGTGAAATGGATTGTTATCGGGACACTTACATTTCTGTTCTAACACTAGTATTCTAATACTACGTTTCACCACACTGTGCAGTAGATGGTATAACCAGACTCATGATTTATTCAAATAGAGATTTCATACAGTCTTCCATCATCCAAACGCTTATCCTGTACAGGATAATAGTCAGTCTTTATTAGCCTCAGACAACGTACAAATCAAACATCTCTATAGCCACATTTTATACATATAGTTAGAATTTATATAATATTAAAGTGTATTTCCTCCTTCTTGAAATTAAAAGTATATTCTGCAGTGGCACCATACAGCATTTGTACTGGTTTGGCATGCTTGTCCACATCACATCTGTTAAATGTATAAAGCGATTATGCATGAGCAAGGTCTCAGGCTACAAACCACCATGTTCAAATGAGCATGAACACGGTATGACATACAAGGAACACTTAGTCTCTGCACCCATCCACCACGGGCTGTTACGCGTCTGACCATGGACCAGAGAAGGAAAAAAACCACAGCAAGTCCCACACCTAGTCAATCAGAAGCTCATATAAACCAGTCTAGCCTGTGTTTCCCAACCTAGTCCTTGGGGACCCCCAGATAGTCCATGTTTTTGTTCCCTACTGGGAGCTTTGTGGGAGCAAAAACATGGACAATCTGGGGGTCTTCAAGGACCCAGGTGGGAAACACTGGTCAAGGCTACACCAGTAACCCAAGGCAAAAACAATGATGTCCAAGCCATAAAAAACAACAGGCACTAGTAGCACTATTTAGATGTTTTTTTTCTTCAAACAAGAGCTAAGTCAGCTAGGCGATTCTAATGCTTATTTCACGGACATTTCAAGCAGTTTTTTACCAAGAAAAATCCCTCTGAACTTCACTGAAAGGTTTGGTGATGTTCACGGTCAACTATACTCCCAGAAATAACTCGAAAACACCTTACAGTCATTGATTGATGAAGATGTCACAAGATGCACTCCCATCATGAAGAACACTCTTTTTTTAAAATAAGGACAGGAGCCACTAGACCACATCAAAATCCTAATCCTCCATGAGTACATATAGCAGCTTATTTTGCCTAATGGGATGAGGTCAGCTAAGCTGGGTTTCTACACTAAAGCTGTGGCTCTAGTAATAAAGTCAAAGTTAATGGGAATGAGCACACAGCTGCCCTCTGCTGCACGGGGCTGGTACTGAAGGATAAAACATTATCTAACACTCAGACTGTTAACCAGTTAACAGGTTCTGCTGGGTCTATAATCGGAGCTGACTGGGAGAGACGGACTGCAGGTACGTGACGTGCCCGATGCCCTTGGTCACACCCTCCCGGAAGAGCAGCTTGGCCCCCACCTTTAGGTACTCTGGGTGTTTGATGAACCGGAAGCGAACCACTGCCTTCTCCCCAGTGCGCAGCTCTTCCTGTTTGAAAAGGAAGAGCCAGACTGACATAACAGTGAATCATTGTGATGGGCTGTATCTGGCTTGATGTTTATCACCTTTATTGAGTTAAAAACAATCTTGCTACAGAAAGCTGATTTGTCACAGTGAGGATTGAACCCAAGAAGACTTGGATTGGACCACTGGTCACTGAAAGGTCCATTAGCGCTTTGATAGCTGATGCCTTTAGCCAATAAGACTTTAAAGTCATTATATTAATTAAGGTCCAAAAGTTTAAGATACAATAGCTAATTAAACTCAAGAAACTAGTAGCAACGGATCATGGAAGCCTGGAAAATGAACCATTTCGAGATCATGAAGCATCATGCCTCTCAAAGGCAGTTTTTAGTCAGGAGACCCACCTTGCCCTTAAGGGCTTCCACCACAGCCGTCTGTCTCACGTTCCCCACGTGCACCGTCACCTGGAAGCCTTTGCGAAAGGTCTTGGCGTGGAAAAGAAGGACGATCTCGGCCTCGAACAGCCAGCAGATGGTGGGCTCCATCTCCGGGCTCACCATCACCATGCCCTGCACACAGGGATGGTCGCAACACAGAACCCAACTGGTGTCAGCCGTGTCACAGAACTTCACGGCATTAGGAAATTCAACCCAAACAGAGTGAGGCTTCTGTAACTTCAAATCTGTAAAGTTTGTTTTCGCAATGGAACTTTAAAATAGAAAATGAGAAGCTTTAATAGAAATAAATTCCTTTGAGGATATCTAGCTCCATACTCTTAATACCTTGTTAAAACTGCTTATATTGAACCAGATAAAGGACATCCCAAAGGAAAACTAATGGCCATAATACTTAAGGATACCTTGGCTGAAATCCATTTCAAGCATTACGAAATGTATTACACTAAAGCAGGGGTCAGCAACATTTTTGAAGCAAAGAGCCATTTTATCCTAAATGTCTGACCCAAGATTTACAAAGAACCGCAATGGGCAGAGAAGGAGGTTATACATATGATTTCTTAATGCGATATAGGTATAAATGCATTTAACACAAAAACAAAGCTTCAAGTACTTACAGGAAAAATCCATCCATCCATTTTCCAACCCGCTTATCCTTCTGGGTCAGGGGGGGTCAGAGCCTATCCCAGAAGCTACGGGCATGAGGTGGGGAACAACCCAGGACGGGGGGGCAGCCCATCGCAGGACACACTCACACACCATTCACTCACACATGCACACCTATGGACAATTTTAGTAACCCCAGTTAGCCTCAGCATGTCTTTGGACTGTGGGGGGAAACCGGAATACCCAGAGGAAACCCTACGACGACATGGGGAGAACATGCAAACTCCACACACATGTAACCCAAGCGGAGACTCAAACCTGGGTCCCAGAGATATGAAGCAACAGTGCTAACCACCATGCCACCCCAAAACAGAAAATAATTTTAAAAAATTAAAAAAAAAACAATTTCGGGGGGTGTCTCAGTTTTAAACCACTTGGACGCATAACAGTGCAAAGGCTAATAGTGCAACATTGATCGGTTCTGTACCGATAGTCTTCACCCTCACCTCTCCTTTCATTTAGCTCTGCAGTTGTCTGCCCTGCGCTTTCCACTCTACTGTGCTGACTGAGCAGTACAGAATTTAATTACTGCTCCAAACTCGATCAGTTGGCTCTAATGTGTAAATTGGAGAAAATATAATAATTTTTACGAAGACGTGGTGATGATTTACTACAAAAAAGCACATGAAAGAATTAAGAATTGCAATAAACGTTGAAACCTACATCCAATCTCGGGTACCGAAGAAAACTTCAAAGAGCAATTAATTTGACCGGAGACATAATCTCGTCGAAAAAGAATGACTTTGAGGAAGATGTGGATGATGCAGTTGATACGATACAGAGGCACGCGAGGGATAGCCTAATTCACATAGAGCTAAGAAATATCTAATTGAAAAATAATATGAACTCATAAATAAATTTTATCTTTGCAAAAGTATTATCCTGCAGCCACGTAGTGAAAGAGTCGCACGTGGCCGGCGAGTTGCAGGATGCCGAGCCCTGCAAAGCTAATTAGTCCAGGGAGCCAGAGCTCAGCACCTTTCGAAGCAGTGAGCGGTCGAAACTTCCCAGCGCCAGCGTGGCAGCCTGGCCAGCTCGCAGGACCCTGCACGCTGACCGGTTCCTCTGGATGCTGCATACCGTCAGGTCCAGAAAGTCTCCCTGGTCCGTGGGGCCCACCACCAGGCGCTCGCCCTCCCGGCAGATCCCGCTGTTGGGGATGAGGCACGTTGGTGGGCCTCTGTAGGGCACGTCTTACCTTCCAGGGTTAAGGAAGATGGGGGCAAGGCACTGACTGACCTGTAGAGGGTGCCTCCTACCACTGTCCCCACTTCAGGAACCGTGTAAATCTCATCCACCTAAGGGGCAGTCACAGACAGGCGGCCTGGTGGTTGGTGCTGTGGGTGAGCGTTTGTGAATGTGAGAGCATCGACGAGTCAGTGTGAGGAAACAAGGTGTTACTGATATACGAATCTGAATCTATTGTACTGTGCAAAAGTCTTCGGCAGCCAAAGAGAAGGTCTTTTAAATGGTCTTCATCTCGGTGTAAAACTGTGATAATATGTCTGACAAAAGTGCTAACTTAGATACTTCAAAGCCTCTCCTAAAGTCACCCCAGTGTTTGCAGAAACCATTCAATACACCCATGTATATACTGACGCAACCACTGGCTTGCCTAATCAATACTTCACAGAGTAATTTATCTAATTAATTTAATGAATTATTTGAGTTGGTGGAGAAATTTAACAAATACATGTAATGGCTGAGGTGCCCCTGAGGAGAGGTTTGGGAACTGTGTTCATCTAGCCATCCAACAAGATCTCACTTTTTGGAGAATGGAAGAAATTCCTAATACAACATTATTAACAGTAACACAAAAAAAACTATGTTAAATTGTGTTTTTTTGAGCCAGTATACCCTTACTATGCAGATAAATAGCTTTTATTTCTAAATAGATAAATAGCTTTTCTATTTTCTCTGACTGTAGGATGTTTGCACAATATTGTATGTGAACAGAGAGACAGGCTCCATAGAGGTTAGAGGTTAAGGATTAGAGGTTAGGGGTTAGAGGTCAGAGTTGGGTACCTGGAACTCTGTAAGCTGCTGCATGAGCTCCTCCTGCTCCTTGCTGTTGCTGAGGGGCGGCAGGATGTTGAAGAAGACCTTGAGAAGGTCCAAGCTGTGCCCCGACACACTTGACACAGTGAAGATGGGCGTGATGCTGCAGCAAGGGTGTCAAATGGATGAGAGGACATCACAAAGTGGGGGGGTGGGGTGTGATACAGCCCTCACACATACCCGCTGACCTGTCCACTGGGGGGGGGGTCTCAAACTGAGCTGGAAGTCTTTGCAGAGACTCATTATTTTAATTACAGAGTATTTTTATCTGCATGTAGAGCCGTGCCAGGATACTCCTACTGAGGAGATAACACACTGCCCACTCTGCATTAGCCTAAGCAACATGATAGCCATCTGATAATCTAAAGAATTAAGCTGGGGGGGTTTGACCCCTACATACCTGGGCGACTGGGCGAACTTCTGGGCGGCGGTGACGGCATCATCCGTGCTGGACACCACCACGGGCACCTTGTTGCAGCCGGGCAGCTTGAGAAAGCGCTCCAGCTGCCTCACCGTGCGCTCCACCGTGCTTCTGGCGCACAGGTCCACCTTGCTCACCACGATAAAGATGGGCACCTTCAGCGCCATGGCCAGGCCCAGGTGCTCCCGAGTCGTGCCCGCTGGGGGTGGGGCCATTATATCAACTCAGCGTAATTACCATATATGCTTCACATAGACCACAGTTCGCCCTGTTGGACACCTTCTTACAATCACTTATGGTGCTTTTCCACTGCCACCAAGAACCGAGCTGTACTCGAGCCGAACCCTGAAGAGACGCTTTTCCATTGCAAGTTATGCGAGTGAAACCTGACGTATAGCCACGCTCATATGTCCCTGCTTACTAGCAGGGCCAAAAGCGTGGCTAACCTGAGTAGGTTGCATCACCACCATCTGATTGGTTGAAATGCATGGAGACAAGAAAGAACCAGTGATCTCAATGAAGCGTTCCGGATAACATGGAACTTGAAAATTTCCAACCTCCTTCTTAAAGTACTATAGAATGGCTGAAAGGAATGAATTGATGATACAAACTTATGCAAGCTAATGCTAATTCTACTAGCATATAATCAGGGCTTTCAAGTCTCACGCACTGACTGTGAGACACACATATTTGAACCAGTTTACATGCCCACACGCTGCACCTTGTGTTTCTCACGCTGAGCAGTAAGGGATAACGGCCGCCAAGGTGTCCCGTTAAATATAATTATTGGATGATGTGCAGGCAAGAGAAGTGGAGTTATCCACAGAGTTCATAATTGTCCTGAGTTATACAGAGTTAATAGCCACCTACCTGCCAATCAGAAAATAGCATTTGTTGTTTCTGGGTAAATTCCAAAATAAGTCACATGTGATCCCGCTGCAAGCACATTATTACAAGGATGTACACACATACAAGTACAGACAAGGTGGAAGTGGCAGAGCAAGATCTGATGAATGCGGCAGGCTGGGCTCTCAAGTGCCACGCATTGACCGTATCACACACGCTGCACCCCTAACAGGTGTAATTTCACTCCAAACTTTCGATGAAACTTAAAAGCCCTGGTTTAATGTTAACATAACACGCCAATTCTCATAGACATGCTAGTGGAAATTGGCACATAGTAAATCATGATGTACACTGCGTGAACAGTAAACAAGCGCCTCTTCAGTTTTACATGACTGTTGCTCTCCAGACAACGCCTTCTCCGAGCTGACCCTTCTGCAGTGGAAAATCAAACTGAGCTGGAACCGCGCTATAACTACGATGTCTTCGTGGTACAGGTTGGGGATGGCCTGGTTCCTGTATGCCACAGGAAAAGTGCCATAAGAATGCTTAATTGAAGCATTCAGCTAAATTGCGATAGCCATCCAACCATCTATCAATCCACCTGTCTTCTGTGCCACTTATCTGGTAAAGGGTTGCTTTATCTCAACCACATTGAATCTGAGCAGGCCTGTAGGGTAACAGGGTAATGTGAAGAGGCCTGTAGGCCAAATACAGAATTCTGAACAAGCCTGTAGCCTAACAAAGTAATCTGAGCAAGCCTGTAAGCTGTCAAGAGAATCTGAGCAGGTCTGCAGGCTCACAGAGCAATCTGAGCAGGTCAGTAGTCTAACAAAACAACTGTAAAAGGTCTAAAGGCTAACTGGGCAATCTGAGCAGGCCTATAGGCTATCAAGAGAATCTGAGCAGGTCTGCAGGCTCACAGAGCAATCTAAGCAGGCCTATAGGCTAACAAAAGAATCTGAGAAGGTCTGTAAGGTAACAGATCAATCTGAGTAAGCCTATAGGTTAAAAGAATCTAAGCAGATCTGCAGGCTAACAAAAGAATCTGAGCTAACAGAGGGTTCGAAACAGGCTTGCAGGCTATTGTGGGTTTTTCTGCAGACCTGCAGTTTCTGCTCTCACTTTTACCTCATAATTTAATTACATATCACTACCCAGCTCTACTACCAAAATACCATTTCAAAATCTGCAATTGGCAAATGAACAGAGCTGCTTACCAATGCCTGTGTTTGCGCCAACCACCACCATAGCAAAGTCCGGGCAGTAGCTGGTGAGGCCGAAAATGGTGGTCTTCAGGTATTTGTGGTGTCCAGCCAGATCAATGAAGGTGATCATTTTCGAGGAACTCTCACATATCTCCTCTGCTGTGCGAGAACCACTGTAATTTACCACCTGCAGTGATAGATGGTGGTCAAAATTCAAAATTTTCTATCCATGAAAGCCAAATAACACTATGTTCACTATCACTGACCTTTGCAACTGCAAACCTTTCGGAATAGCTGGCCTCACACAGGAGAGACACATGATTTCCCTCACCTCCCCCTTGCTGTTGAATCCCAGTATTTCAAAGCTGATGCTGGACGTCCTGCCAGTCTGGATCTCATGAAGATGCCGGAAGAGGTTGAGGCGTGCACGTCCCCTGCCATTGTCCAGCTCTCCTTGGGTCAGCACACCCAACAGTGTAGACTTCCCAGCATCCACATTACCCAGAACTGCCACTCGCAAGTCCAGGAACTGCACACAGACAGATGGCCAAATGTTAGCACCACAACATCTGTTGTAATAATAATAGATTTATAAAGAAGAAACCCACCTGCTGGTTGTCTGGGACTCTCCTCACCAGAACTTCCGCAATTTTTTTGGAGACGTCATAGCCATAGTCTACCTCTCTCTCTCTGAGAACAGTGATATCAGCACCGACCCTTGAGACAGGGGGGAAATCAAAGTTTAGCCTCGCATAGTTTAAAATGTTACTCATGGGTCGGTTTGGACAGAATGAGCCAAATTGGTATCTCACGCAAATGTGGATCCAGAACCTTGACTGCTGCACGTTCAGGGAATTGTGGGAGTGTACAGAGGTCATACTTCTCAGCCATCCTGCGCAGCGTCTTGAGCGAGGCCTTCAGGTCGTCGTCGGACAGCCCCACCAGCATGCCGTTGTCCTCCACGCCGATCTGGTAGACAGCCTCGCCACGGCCTTCCTGCAGTCTCCATTTCATCTGCGTCACCAGGTGCTCAAAGCGGTACTGGGTCGGGTTCACCAACTTCAGCTGCGAAGGCCGTACGGTTCACCAGCTTTAGTCATAAAACCCGTAGGGCCAGAGTGTCACGGCCATAGAGACTGAGGGGGGCAGGAAACTGCCCGCTCAGTTTTTTGGAAGTTTGATGATTTTATTGTATTGATAGTTAATTTGTATCACATGACTGCGTTGCAAACACAGCACATCTTATTTTCATGTCACTTCTTAAATGGCTGCCTAGATTAGGTAATTTGCATTCTATCTCTCTCCCTATCCAATACTTGCATGCACTGCAAGCATTGATTGGTTTAATTTGAGTTGAAACAAAGTGTGCTAGTTGACCCGTTGTTATTACCAGGTGCTATCAGAACTAAACATTCAAATAAAGTCAGTCATCTTCTAAAGGTCAAACTATTGGGCTATTAAGCTACCCCTTCTAAGTAGAGATGTTGTAAGTATTTGAAACATATGTCGATGTGTAAGCTAAGCCTAAAAACACTGATGTGATTTAAATACAGGCAGACGGCCGTGTATGAAGGTCAGACTAGTTAGATTTCCATTAATATGCTACACGTTAGCCTAGCCCACTGCTACAAAAAATAGTGTCTATAGCTATCAAGCTACTGAAGCAATATTATGCAAATCTATAGTCTGGAAGTATTAATACACTAAGAAATAGAAATATTTTAAGTGGAGCCTAGTTGCAATCTAAACATCTTTTTCAAATGCATAATTTTGGGTTCACACTGGCAGCGATGTTACATGGGTGTTGACAGATAACTGTATATTCTTTATGTCGTAATTATTTACTAAAACACTGGATCTCTAAATTCCTTAATTATTGTTTTTCATGTAGACTAGGCTACCCTCTCAAAACAGAGGGATGTGAGGCTATAAAGACCATATGGTTCCCTAGCTTCAGCTGTCGCTCACACTACTGTTGCATATCGGTTTCCTATTAGCTATGAGACAAGTGTTCCTTAAATGTTCACTTTTTTTATTTGACCCTCTGTAAAGCAGGTGTGAAGTACAACATCATAATCTTTGATGACAAAGCAGTTTGAACATCAGTAGCTGTCATGCATGGCTAAGTCAAACCTGCAGATACAGCAAACGCTAACAGTAAATATCGTACACTGCAGTGCATCTAAATAAAACCTACAAATGCAGTGATTTCCACATACTTCTGGTTCTGCGCGTATTATACATTTTCTTTTAATTAACATTACAATGGAAATTAATATTTAAAACTTATCAATAATTCCCTAAATGTAATATGTATATGAAGTGATGGTGCTCATTGGTGATGGGTCTGTGCTCATCCAGGCCTGGAAGGTTGTGGATCTGAATCCTATAATTGCCACAGTAATCATAATATAGATCATTTATCATATATATATATATATATATATATATATATATATATATATATATATATATATATATATATATCTCATGTTACCCCCGTGTCCTTCAGCAATGCTCTTAACCCCCACTGCCATCCTGCTCTCCGACCCTAAAACTTTCACTTATGTTATATTTTCTCTTATGGAGAACAAATAATTGTTTATGTACCTCTAGTGTATTAAACAACAGCATACAAATTTTATATGAAATAAAACAAGTAATGATAGTGTTAGTAATCCTCACTTTACAAAAAAATTGTATTATAATATCTGCACAACCGATAATACTGTTATGTGACGGGGGGGGGGGGGCAGAAACGCTTACCTTGTACTCCACGTTGCCCTCTTCAGCCTGAGGGAAGAGAAAGCATTGATGTTGAATTTGAAATGCTACTGAGGTAATCAGCCATATGGAGCACAACCTGAGCTAAAGTCAAACAGAGAGCGCTGACTGTAATCCTATTATCCTTTACGCTCAGCGTGAGCATTTGACTTTTTCCATTTTTAGTTTTGACAGAGTACAAAAAATAAGGAAAGTGTATGGGATTATTTTTACCGTAGTAAAGTTTTGGTAAGCTGTCCTGTTATCGAAGGCAACCAGAGCACTACAGCCCAGCCTCTAGTTTCATCCTTTTATCAAATGTTGCAAATTACAGTCGCCTCAGAACTGACAGCGCCTTAAGAGTGAGAGTAAATAAAACATATAATTGCTAGCTTTGAAAAAAAAATCTGGTAAAATAATTGGCTGGAAGAAATAAAACTTTACAGTCATGGTTCAATATGGTTAAACTCATTTCAGTATAGGGTAAAATGGAGCCTGGAGTCTGTCCCAGGAATAAAGATGACAGGGGGCAGGGGGCACTCTGGATGGGATGCCAGTTCATCTCAGGACACACTGCTGCCATGATGTCAATTATAATAATAACAAATAATAATAATAATAATAATAATAATAATTATAATAATAATACAAAGAAGATGAGGCACCCCAAGGGTTGAATCCCACCTCCTCTTTGTGTCTGTGGAGTTTTCCACGTGACAGTCGAAATACACACATTTAGACTAACTGACCTTTCTAAATAGCCTGTATTGCATGATTGTGTGTATTTGCCCTGCAATACATTGGCATCCACTCCAGGGTGGTCCCAGCTTTATGCCCTCTGATGCCCCAGGGGTATTCTCTAGCCCCCCCATGACCTTGATCACAATACCTGGTTGGAAGATGGATGGATGTTTCTGAGGATGATGATGTAATAAAAGGGTGATTCAAATTTGCTGTCACATGATGTTTAGAGGTTATAGTCATTTAGGCACATAACTGAACAACCTGGATTACTCACACGTAGCCTAATTACTTACTTTTGACTGAGAAAGTATGAAGAACAATGCAACTCATTTAGAAAATACAGGGACTTGTAATTATTTTCATAGTTGATAATGACGAAAAAACATATGTGCTTAATCTTTCTGTCTCTTAATTTAGGGTGTGATGAATTTCTGTGAAATTGTCATTATTTTCATTATTATTGTCAAATATTACCCTAACTTGAAAAGCGCGTAGCCTGGTATTAGAATACCACCGTCATTAGTAAGATGCGAGTTCCCCCCCCCCCCCGTTATGTCTGTCACAGGCCTTATTCTGTAATCAAATTCACAGAAACTATGCAACATGTCCTGAAATAATAAGAAAAAACCTAATTAGCCGATTTACAAAGCAACCGTAATAGTAATTAAAAATCGCGAAGAATAATGGTGTCGCATTAGGTTTAATGACGGATGTGATTTCAGCCTACCTCTGGGGGTAAGTACGGAGAGATTTTGTTGGCTTTCGTATTTCTGTTGGCTCGATTCTTGATTTTCTTGCCATTTTTGACACCTAATTTTTTTGACAGCATCATTCCAATGCTGCTGCCCGGACAGCAGAGAAGCGCCTGCGGACTCGCCTTGCAGTTTCCTGAGAGCCGCGTCGCCCACGGATCCATTTGGGTCTGAGATCTGCGCAAGATGAACGCCTTTCCGAATATACACTGTTTTACTCTAGTCAAGCAACGTGTAGATGTTTTTCATGCTGTACCAACCTAAACACCAACAGATTACGGATTACGTCAGCGCACCGTGATATTAATATTAATGAAGCGATTGCGCTGTGACGATATACGCAGATTGTGAGTTCAAGCCATTGGTATATACCGCTGTGTTTTTTGATCGCAGGTTGGTTCTAGCAAAACAGAAAAACATGTAGGTGAACACAGAGATCCAACTGAAATACGCACTTTGCTTTATGGTAACGTGCTTACCAAGTATGATTCTATATATTCGTATCTGCATTTTTATCTATTATTATTGTTGTTGTTGTTGCTGCAGCCGCAATAGTGTGTTTATTATTAATGTCCATGCCTTATTACTATGATTTCAACGATGAATTAACAGGATTACCTATATCTATCCATCTACTATCTGCTTATCAAGATCAGGATCACCAGTTTAATTGCATACATTTGCTTATTTTGCTTATGTGTAAAAATGTCTGACACTTTGTTATACAATCATGTGAAAAAAATAGGACACCCCATTAAATATATAGTTCTTTATTAAGAAATATCAACACATCAATATTAAATCTTCTTTCAAATCACATCTGTAGATAAAGGTGATGTAACTGTATCACCTATGCAAAAAAAACAATTAACAAATTCACTTATTTAACAGTAGAAATTGTGTGATGATGCCAATTTCCACCGAGGAAAAAGTTAGGACACCCTCACATCCATTACTATTTAAAATGTCTAGAATTAGATTATGGTGAAAAAGATTAGAACATTGTTACAGAGCTTTTTGGTGGAGTCTGTCTTATTTAAACCACAGACATTTAGTTTGGTTTGCTCTTGATTGTTGAATTGAGTGGTATCACCATGATCCAAAGAGGCCTTCAGAAAGAAGCTTGTAGATGCATATGAGTCTGGGAAGGGATATAAAAAGATCTCAGCCCAGCCAATCCACTGTCTGGAAAATAATTTACAGGTGGATGGAGAACACTTAAAACAATTGCCAGCGTGGCCAGGTCAGGCAAGTTCAACCCAAAAGCAGACTGTAAGATGCTGAAAGAAGTCTCCAAAAATCCTAAAATGTCATCGTGGGACATATAGGCAGCTCTTGCCACAGTTGATGTCAAGGTACATGCATCTACAATCAGAAAGAAATAGAAGAAAGGAAGGAAGTCAGGGCATGAACTGCAGGTGCATCGATCACAGTACATGTGAGGGATCAGTCACAAGACCCACTACGTCATGCAAAGTGTCAAGGGATCAGTCACAAAACCTGTAACATTATGCAAAGTGTCAAGGGATCAGTCATGAAACCAGTAACAGTATGCAAAGTGTCAAGGAATCAGTCATGAAACCAGTAACATTATGCAAAGTGTCAAGGGGTCAGTCACATGACCTGTAACATTATGCAAAGTGTCAAGGGATCAGTCATGAAACCAGTAACAGTATGCAAAGTGTCAAGGAATCAGTCATGAAACCAGTAACATTATGCAAAGTGTCAAGGGGTCAGTCACATGACCTGTAACATTATGCAAAGTGTCAAGGGATCAGTCATGAAACCAGTAACAGTATGCAAAGTGTCAAGGAATCAGTCATGAAACCAGTAACATTATGCAAAGTGT